ATTTATGGTATGTCCCACCGTTAGATCCTGTTCTTGTTCTGATGGACGACACTGAGCCTTTCCACTGTCTATATCCCATGGACTGTCAAAAGAACAGATAAAGATAGGGAGATAGAGATATATTGGAGGAGGTGCAGCTAGAGTAGTCCTTGGAGTCAAGGATGGTGTAGCTTCATTTCATATGCCTTGGGCAGGTTGCTAGAAAGGGTATTCCTTGGAAAGGGACATCATGTTTGGAAAGGTGGAGAGTCAGCAAAGGAGAAGAAGATCCTCAATGAGACGGATCGGCACAGTGACTGCAGCAATGGGCTCATGTGTGTCAGAGATGATGAGGATGGCACATGATAGGACAGGGTTGAGATCTGTTGTTCATAGGGTCTATATGAGTCATGACGTTTTTTGACAGCACCCAACAACAACAACATGAGTGTGGTCCAGTGTTTCATCTATGTTTTTGATTTCGTGTAGTAGTGTTTTGTAATTTCTATTGTTTTCCTGATTTTCTTTTCAGAGTTTCCTATAATTAGGTAGAGAATTACGAATGATTTTTGAAAGTTAACTTTGTACCTTTCCATTTTACTGAATCTTTGTATTAGTTTCTCTAGCTTTCTTGTTGAGTCTCTAGGATTTTTTTTTTAATGTTTAGAATTGGTCAGGTTATTTGCAAACAGAGATAGTTTTATTTCTTCTTTACCAATTTAATGTCTTTTATTTCCCTTTCTTACCCTATCTTTCTGGCTATAATTTCTGGTAAATGAAGGAAGAATATGGCAGTTACCCCACCATTCCCAAGCTTGATCACTTCCTGAGAAACTTGGTAACATCTAAGCTGGTCCTCTCAAAGGCCAGACCAGACAATGGATCCTGATAAGGGTCTGAGCTGGGGGAAAAAGTGCTAACTTAAAAAACCTAACTTAATTAACATGTCCAATTCCAAATACCATCTTAGTCCTCCCCAGAAGCCCTATAAAAAGGAAACCCTCAAATTGCTTGTGCGCCATTTTTGATCCTGTCTGCATACCATGTGCTGGGTCACTTGGTGTCCCTCTCAGACCACGCAATAAAAGCCTGTTAGTTTCTTGGGACCAATTCCTTTCTTTCTTTCTCTCCCTCGTGCCTTCGCTCTTTTTTTTTAATATCTAACATATGGTTACCTGACCACAAAAGGAACCCGGACCATGGCGGTGAGAGGACAGAATCCTAACCACTAGAGATACTTGTCTTTGTATATTTGCCATGTATATTTCTCAGTGAAAAGTTTAGTTCATTGATTTTCTTTTTTAAGCCTAAAAAAGGAAAGCATTTAGAAAGCCTTGATATTATCTCATATCTTTAATTGATCTTTTAATATTTTTATCTCTGGTAACTCTTTTTTACTTTAAAGAATATTTTGCTTAGTCTGTCACTCTCCTTAATTGCTCACCCCTAAGTCATCATTGATTTTTTTAGCATGCCCTTAAATTTGAACTTACACACTCTGTTTCAAATTAAGACAACTCCTTTTATGAGAGCTGTAAAGAATAGACCTTCCCTTAAGCTGAGATAGTGGAGAGGGGTGGTTCAAAGATAAAGAACAGGTCAGGATTCAATTACCATTCTTCTTTGTAAGGTTACTAAGATTTACTTAGATAGATATATTTTTTTTGTATTTGCTATATTCTATTACAACAATTTCCAGAGACTTTAAACTATTGTTGTCATTTCTACCACTTTGACCAGTAAAAAACTGGAATTTATATTGTTAGGAAACGGAAGCAACTCACACTGGCATTTGTGAAGTGTACTCCTACCTCATAACATTTTAATAAATTATGTTCATATTTTTATTCTTTCTAAATAATATATAGTTGAGCAAGAATGGCATCCACTTTCCAGCAACATGCCTCTGCAAACGCTATGAACTTGAGAAATGACAGTAGTTATAGAAAGGCTTTAGGTCTTTTGTTTATAGTCATGCCCGACTCAACAGCAATCAACAACACAACAACATATGCCCTTACAACAATTTCCAGAGAATTTAAACAGTTGTTGTCATTTTTCTAGCTTTCACCAGTTATATAGTAAAAAACTGGAGTTTATATTGTTGAGAAACTGCGGTTCCTCACACTCGCATTTCTCATACCATTTTAAGAGTGTGTTCGTGTTTTTATTATTTTCAAATAATATATAATTGTGTTTTGTATCTCTTCTCTAACCAGTAAAAGTCCATGCTTTCTAAAATGGAGAATTTCTTTGTGATCTCATATATGACACTTTTGTGTAAATAGTTCTTAGACTGCTTAAAATTATTTTTAACAGGAAGGTAGCAGACTGGGGTTAGTATCAGAATTATGAGTCAACTTTTAAATATGTAGAGAGGATGCCAAGGTCCCCCTCCAAGCCTAAGTCAGTATCTTCCCAGATGGGGTCTATTGTTGTTGTTGTGTGCCATTGAGTTAGAAATGACTCACAGCCAACCATTTGGCAGGTTTTCAGAGGCAGTAAATCACATGGGAGGAGATTGCCCATCCTTCTCTGATGGAACAGATGGGATTCTAACGGCACATCTTTGGTATTGCAGCGCAACTTCTTTCCACTAGGCCACCAGAGCTCCCTGGGCGGGGTCTAGGCACCCTAGGCAATTTTAAAAGTGTGAACTCAGAAGCAGTGGCTGTGAAAAGAATGGATAGATGTAAGAGAACCAGGACTGATAGGTTATGGGATGTGGAAGGAAGGTATTGGGAATGACTCCGAGGTTCTTAGCCTGAGGGCCTGTTTCAGTGAAATGGAGATCAGAGGAGGAGGAAGTCAGTCTGAGGAAAAAAAATTAGGATTGTTTCAGATATATTAAATTGGAGAGGCTGTAGCACATATATAGCACATTGGGCTGCTTAGTGAAAGGTCATTGGTTCAAATCTATAAGCTACTCTCTAGAAGAAAGATAGGCAACCTCCTCCCATAGAGATTTATAGCATCAGGAACCCGATTAGGTTTGCTGTGAGTCAAAATTGCCAGTTATCACTCTCTCTCCTCATTGAGGTTAAGTCTAATCTGATTCATAGCTGACCCTTCAATGAGTTTTCAGAGGTAAATAACATAGAAGGCAATTGCTGTCTTTCTCCACAGAGCAGCTAGGGGCCTTGACCCACCCACCTTTGGTTTGACAGTACAACTCCTTATGCACTAGACTACCTGAGATATTGAGGAGGCAACCTCAAGCAGGCAATCTCTTGGGTGGAGCCTCTGCTGCTGCTCTGGAGACCACCCTGACAAAAGGCCCCGATCCCAGGGGAGCTCATCTGGAAGGACTGATTTAGGAGCTGAGGGCAAGAACGTAGTCTTTGAAGACGTGGCCTTGACTGAGATTAGTTGAGAAGATAGTGTAACTCAAAAGGAGAGCACAGGATGGAGCAGGGACACTTGGGCATTTTATCATTGGATGGAGAAAGAAAGAGATGGGGGGGTGGGGGGAAAGGCCGTCAGAGGAACGGGAAGAAAATTAAGAGTACAGACACAGAGACTAAAAGAGAAAGACATTTTAAAAGGAACCAATTAAATCAAAGGTTTGTATGGGAGGCAACACGAGAGAAGTAAGCCCTGAAGTGGTATTAAAATAGACCTGAGGGCTGGATGAAAATGAGCCTCACGGGATAGGGGAAACAGGAGAGTGTGCAGGGCGTTACACGGGAGAAGTTGAGTGAGGTGGAATTCGCAGTTGGGTGTCCCAGAGGCTGTTGCTCCGCTTGGCAAGCTACACGGCTGAGGGCAGGCCTGAGCCCTCTAGTGCTGCTGTACCAGAGATACCACACATGGAGCATTAACAAACAGGGACTTATTCTCTGACTCTTTGAGAGGCTGGAAGTCTGAGTTCAGGGAGCCAACTCAATGGGCAAGGCCCACTCTCTCTCTCTCTCTCTCTCTCTCTCTCTCTCTCTCTCTGTCAATTAGGAAAGACAGCCCTTTCTTTAACAACTGTAGGCTGGCCATTCATTTGAGATCTCCACGTGTCCTGGCCCCTGGTGTCAAGGGGTTTCCTAGCACAGGGGCCCAGGTCTGAAAGACACCCTTCACTCTGACAGTTATATCTTGGTGGTGCTGAAGGGCCACCACCCCCTTGGCTCAATTTCCTCCTCTTTTATCTCTAGTGAGATAGAAGATACAGCAGGCTGTACCCTCAGGAAACTCCTCTTACACTGGATGAGGTTGTGATTGTTCTGCCCACGAAATGCTCCTCAAAGAAATCTAAAAACACATCTGAAATTTCAAGAGCATTTATTATTATATTATTTCCACGCATGGAGACTTTTTCCCTCCTCAGGAAGATGGTGAAGGAAAAAAGCCCCGAGTTTCCCTCTCACTTGCTTTTATAGCTCTTTTGAGTGCCCCTGTTAGGGGAGGGGGATTGTGATCATGGTTTTTGGGCTGGGGAATTAGTCATTTGGGTTGACTTTTGAGGGGCTGCCTACTTTGCCTGCCTTTACTCCTTCTGTGTCACGTAGACACTAGTTAATCCTTTACCTTGCAAGGATAGGCAAGGCCTTACCTGGGGCACTCGTGTTTGCCTTAAGCTAAGAATTTTCATGGCCCGCTTCTGCCTCTAGCGTTAATGGAGGTTTATAAAAAATGGGGTTTCTGCTGTCCCTTCAGTGATGAGATTGAGGGGTGTTGGGTTCCACCCTTAATCGTTTGGCAGCTATTTCCTTTGTCAGATCATGGGGATCAGTGCATAGCTTCCACATGATATCATCACAAATATGTCTTTTAGGGGAGACACAATTCAATCCATGATAACAGGCCTTTGGAATTTAGAATAAACAGGACCTCAAATTCCCCATAATCCTGGCTAAGCACCCCTGAGAATGTGGAAAGGCTGGGTACCCTCCCTGACACCTGGAAAGTTACCTAGAACAGTGAGCTCTAATGGCAGTGAGTACAGCAGAGCTCTGACTATTGAAGGGAACACACTCCCCACCCAACACCACGATGTCACCCTGACTTTGTCACCTATTGCTCTTCCACAGGCCAAATGGCAGGTCAGAGTCTCTCAGACCATCCAGATGTGAGAAAAATTGGATTCACAGGCTCCACAGAGGTGGGAAAGCTCATCATGAAAAGGTATGTGCCTGGAGGAGTAGAGAGAGGCCACACTGGACCCTACAGACTGTGACTTCTAGAACAAGTTATAATGTCTAAAAGGGAGTAACATACTATGATCTGGGTTTTGCTTCTTAAGCCTGAATGTGTGTAGATTCTGTGTGGTGTGGAAACCACATGATTCCACAGTTCATAAGAGAAATGGAAGGCCTCTGAGGCTGCCCTGGGGACCTCACTAAGCCCAACATGGGCCTATATTGCCCAGGGTGGAGCCACAAGCCATATGGGGCCATGCAGGACTGAGTATCACATAGAAACCAGGTTAGGAAAACTTAGCATCAAAAGAGGTGTAGCATTTCATGAATACATTTTTACTGATTGCAAGGTAAAAATTATAATATTTTTATACATTTGATTAAATATGTTGTTGTTGTTGTTATGTGCCGTCGAGTCGCTTGTGACTCATAGCGACCCTATGTACAATAGCCCTAAACTCTGCTCTGTCCTGTGCCAATCGCACTGCCTCTGACACACCCATCCTGATTACCCCAGTCACTAAATCAATCCACCTCATAGAGGGTCTTCCCCTCTTGCGCCATCCCTCCACCCTCCCAAGCATGATGTCCCTCTCCAAGGACCTGTCCCTACTTACAACATGTCCAAAGTATGTCAGACGAAGCCCCAGAATCCTTGCCTCCAAGGAGCAGCCTGGTTTAACCCTCTCCAGGATGAATCTGTTTATTTTCTTGACAGTCGATGGTATATTCAATACTCTTCTCCAGCACCACAGCTCAAAGGCATCAATTCTCCTTCTATCCTTCCTAGTCATTGTCCAACTCTCTGATTCATAACAAGTGATTGCAAAGACCATGGTCTGTATCAGGCGCACCTTCGTCTCCAAAGAGACACCATTGCTCTTGAGTACTTTAGAGAGGTCCCTAATAGCAGACTTTCCCATCACAATACGTTTTTTGATTTCCTGGCTGCTGGTGCCAAGAGTGTTGACTGTGGAGCTAAGCAGACTAAAGTTGTGAACAATCTCAATCTCTTCGCCATCCATCCTGATGCTGTCAATTGGTCCAGTGGTGAGAATCTTTGTCTTCCTGACATTGAACCTCAATCCATACTGAAGGCTCCAGTCCTTGACCCTCTGCAGCAAGCATTTCAGGTCCTCCTCAGTTTCAGCAAGCAGGATTGTGTCATCTGCATAACACAAATTGTTAATAGATCTTCCACCAATCCTGATGCCACACTTCTCATAAAGCCCAGCCTCTCAGATAATCTGTCCTGCATACAGGTTGAAAAGGTATGGAGATAGGACACATCCCTGGTGTACACCTTTCCCAATTTTGAACCATGCAGTGTTTCCTTGCTCTGTTCTGACACCTGCCTCTTGGTCCAAGTGTAGGTTTCGCATTAGAACGATTAAGTGTTCTGGGATTCCCATTAAATATACTTTCTTAAAATCCCTTTCACTTGTGATTGGACAGCAATAATCTAGAACCTCTAGTCTCTTATTCTCTGTACTTTGTCCTTAATAACTAACACAGGCCATACCCCTGCCTCTGTCACCATTCAGGCTGTGAGCTGGGCCAAGTCACCTCCTCTTTGATCCTCAATTTTCCAAACAGTTCGGTAGAAGAATTTTGGCAAGTTCCATGGCCCTTGCCTGTCTAAATAGACAGAAGTGCCTGGGAACGGAGTGGGTGGTGAAGGTCTGCAGCTGTGTCTTCCCAGGGAGCAGTCAGGGCCCTGTGAGCATAGATACCTCCTTCTGTGTTCCCCCAAGTTGTACCTGGCTGAGGAATGGAGACTGGCATACTACATCTCTTGCCTGTTGGTGTGTCACGAATGAAGCTCCAGCTTCCTCTGCAGATGAGATGCTGAGGCCTCGGGGGCCAACTTAGCTATAACTAGTAATGGTTTCCTTGCTCAAATTTTCCCCCAATCATCCATATTTATTGAAAAGCAATCACATGCTCTGGACACTGAAGGGAAGGACACAGATGCAACCCTGCTCTGGGGGCTTTGGCCAAGCAGAGAGAGTCAGACAGTAAACACACTCACGGGTCAGAGCAGTGGAGGAAGGTGGACAGCCAGAGCAGGCACCTGGATGGTGGCAGCTGAGCAGAGAGCTGAAGGACATTAGGTGAGATGTGCAGGCATCTGAGGGGGCAGCCATGCAGCCCAGGAGTGGATGGAGACCAGCATGAGGGAAGAGTGATCAAGGGAGAAGGAAGACAGAAACGGATGGTGGTGAAGGAGGAGGAGGGTTCTGCGGGGGCATGGCCTGCTTTACCAGCCTCCCTTTGCTCTGAAGTATAAACATGGATCTACTCTGGCTTCTCCACTGGGGACCCCTCCCGAGCACGTCCCACTCCAGCCTCACCAACCCCTCTGCTCCTTCCAGCTGTGCCCTGAGCAACCTGAAGAAGGTCTCCTTGGAGCTGGGAGGAAAGTCACCCCTCATCATCTTTGCTGATTGTGACCTGAATAAGGCTGTACAAATGGTGAGGCTGGGCCTGGGACAGGCGGTCAGCTGGAAGGGTGGTGCATCTCTTGGTGACTCACAATAAAGCCAGGCATGATCAGCAAGACCTTGAACATGTTAGAGCCCATAGGGTTGCTACAAGCATAACATGGTAGAGAGGGGGCGCTGGGAAAATGATGACGTGAACCCCAACAAAAGGTGATTTCCAAGTAAGAATCTCCAAACCAGTCACAGTTCCCAGAATTGGGACACATAAGCCATGGCGCTCTGTACTGAAACAAACATTATAACCTTTTCCTGTCCCAAGCCAAACAACCCTGAATCCTGAGCACGACTTGGAACAGCGGCCCCTCTCTGCCCCGGTGTTCTGCCTACCCATGGGTTTGTGCATGCCATGCCTACACCTAATCAGTTCTCCCACTTTCTAGCTGGGAAGCCTTGGGCAAGTTCCTTAACCTTCCCCGCCTCAGTGTTCTTATCTGTACAATAGGAATAATAATGACTTACCACAGGGGTTGTGGAGGCCAAGTGAGTAAATGGAGCTGAAGCACAGGGGACAAGAACCAGGCTGTGGGGGGCCACATCTTAGTTGTTCTTGCCATTGTTGTTGCTGTTGTTTTTACTGTGCCTTGATCCCTCTTTGCACTTCTGTGGGGATAAACCATTGAGCCCATGTTCAGTCAGGTACCCCAATATGCTCTACCTCCCCAAGTCATGTCTGGTTTTGAGAGTAATATGACCTCTCAGCGTAGGAATGAAAAGAAGCACAGCTTTGACAGATGGGGAGACCAAGAAAGGCAAGGTTAGGGTCTCAGCCCCAGAGCCACAGAAGAAGGCATTGCACCCCACTCCTGAGCCACAGGCCTGGGACATGTCATGGCAGATGCATAGTCCCTGACTCCAGGAGAGACGAGCTCTACCCAAGCCGTCTCTCCCTCCTTTCCCCACTTCCCACACCACTCTCCTCAGCTCGCTGGGCCTTAGATGATCCTGGCAGTGACTCTTAATGAGGTTCCCTAAGGCTTGCTGGACTAGCCATCACCCATCTGCCCAAGCTTGGTAGACTTGGCCTTGGCCCTTTGGGCTCACTGCCAGCAAGTGGCTGCTGAATTGAGAAGACTACCCAGGGGGCCCACTTAGTATGCAGAGAAGGATCTGCAGCAGCCCTGAGACCTCAGCTAACTAAAGTCCATGTGTTACTGTTCCCAATTCCCTCCGGCATGGAGAGTGACAGGGCTCTGTTCCACCACCCTGTCATGTGCAGGCTCCCATTTACACAACGACACTGTTTGTTTCTCCACTGAGGGTGAAGGCATCTGCACACCCAGGGCCAACAGGGCCTAGCATGCCTTGTACTGTCAGCATGCAGTGTGCCTGCCCCTCCCTGTGTCAGAAGGGGTTCCAGAACTGGTGCGGAGCCCTGATTCAGCATTGTATCTATGCACCATAGGGGATGAGCTCAGTCTTCTTCAACAAAGGAGAGAACTGCATTGCGGCCGGCCGGCTCTTTGTGGAGGACTCCATTCACGACCAGTTTGTGCAAAAAGTCGTAAGTCTCACCTGTCCCGGGACTGCACAGCTGCTGGTTTCCCTGGACAGTGGCCTGGGTGGAGGTGCGGGAGGGGATAGGAGAGCTGAGCTCCACCCTCAGGAGCATCCTTCAGGGTCAAGTTGTTGTTGTTGCTGTGTGCTGTTGAGTTGGAACTGACTTATAGCTACACTCCAAGTGGGTTTTCAGAGGCAGTAAACCACATGGGAGGAAATTGTCCATCTTTCTCCCATTGAGCAGCTGATAGATTTGAACCACATGCCTTTGAAACTGTAGTGCAGCTTCTTACCACTAGGCTATTAGAGAGTTGCTCTATGTTACTTAAACAAACAAACAAAAAAATAATAAAAAATAACAACCCTGCTCAAAAGGTGAGAAGGCTGAACAGAAATTGAGGTGCACATGAAGCAAACTTTCAGGGGAGCCTGTGAGGGTGGGGGGAATGCAAGACACGACAGGCGAGAGGGGAAACTCAGGGACATGGTCTCAGAAGAGTCCAGCCCATGGGAGTTCTGGAGCACAGCTGTGCAGGAGCATGCCACTCGGTCAAGGCCCTTCCCCTTGGATCCTGTGTCAGTCAGACATCGGCTGTGGGCTGTCCACAGCGAGAGGAGGGAACACTCCTCAGTGCAGAGCAATTCTCCAGGTGGTTCTCACAACAGCAGGGGTGGGGGAGCAGCACAGGTAAAGGGCTCCTGAGTGGACCACCAAATACCATCCTCACTAGATTCATTGACTTATTCAGCCACATCCCAGGAGAGCAGGTAAAGCAACGCTACGTACAAGGAAAGGAAGCACGGCCTCATCCTGTGCCATCCTCACACTCTCAGCTATATTTAAACCCACTGTTGGAGCCACTGTGTCAGTCCAGCTCATCAACGGGATGCCTCTTTTTCCCTGACCCTCCGCTTTACCTAGCGCCATGTCTTTCCTGAGAGACCTGCCCTTTGTTATAATGTACCCAAAGTATGGGAGATGAAGCTTTGCCATCTTTGCTTGTAAGGAACATTTTAGCTGCATTCCATCTCAGACAAATTTGGTTGTTATTTTGGCCATCTGTGGTATATTCAATGTCTCTAATCAACATCATAATTTTAAAGACACCAATGCCTTCTATATTTGTTATCCATCTTTCATATGCATTGAGGCAATTGAAAATGCTGTGGCTTGAGTCAGGCACACCTTAGTCCTCAAAGTGGCATCCTTGCTTTTTGGCCATTTAAAGAGATTCTTGTCTATAGATTTATCAAATGTTAAGATGCCACTTGGTCAACAGATATATCCAATGTAATGGATCCAGGTAAAATTAAGTCCTTGACAACTTTGATCATTTCTTCATTTATAATAATGTTTAATCATCCAATTGTGAAGATATTAATTTAAATGAAACCAAGCAATAGTTTAACTTAACTAATAAATAATATCTTCCTTGGGCATTTTCTCCTTCATTTCGATCTGTATTGTTGTTGTTGTCATGTGCTATCAAGTCACCTGTGACACATAGTGACCCTGTGTACAGCAGCTCTGAAGCCTGCCCTGCCCTGCCCTGAGCCAATCTCACTGATTCCATCACACCAACTCTCACTGCCCCAGTTACTGTATCAATTCATCTCATCCGGGTCTCCCTCACCTGTGCTGTCCCCTCCACCTTTCCAAGCATGATGTCCTTCTCCAAGGACCATTCCCTCCTGGCCATGTGCCCAAAATATGTGAGACAGAGCTTCAAAATCCTAATCTCCAAGGTGAAACTTGGCTTCACCCTCTCCAAGACAGATCTATTTGTTTTCTTGGCAGCCAGTGGTAAGTTCAAGACTCTTCTCCAGCACCACAACTCAAAGACATCAATTCTTCTTCTGTCATGCTTACTTAGTCATTGTCCAGCTCTCTGATGCATACCAAGTAATTGCGAAGACCATGGCCTGGGCTAGGCACACCTTAGTTTCTAGACTGACATCATTGTTTTTCAGTACTCTGAAGAGGTCCCTGACAGCAGATTTTCCCACTGCAATTTCTCTTTTAATTTCCTTACTGCTGGAGCTAAGAGTGTTGATTGTGGAAACAAGAAAGCTGTAACTGTTAACAACTTTAATCTCTTCTCCATCTATCATGGTGGTGCCAGTTGGCTTAGTGGTGAGAATCTTTGTCTTCTTGATGTTGAGCTTCAATCCATATTGAAGACTACAGTCCTTCCACTGCTTAAGGTCCTCCTTAGTTTCAGCAAGTGACGTTGTGTCATCTGCATAATATAGGTTGTTGATGAGTCTTCCTCCAATCCTGATAGGATCAAATTAACAATGACATCTCAAAGACTAGATAGAAAATGTAGGGACAATAAGTTTATATTTGTTGAGGAGAAACAGAAAAGGAGAGAAAGAATAACTGCATATCCCAAAGGATCTAGCAATGCCTCTGCAATGTACTTGTAGGAACCATTTGCTTGTTATACATTTTGCTGTGCAAGACCTCAAGCCAACAATAGGATACCTTGTTTACATTTTAAAACAAGAAAGGGGAGGATCCCATATGTGGTGAAGCCCTTGGAAGCTCAAAGTTAATATTCTTATTAACATAGGACTGAGGAGAAAGTAAGTTTTCTACTGACCCAATGAGAAGACGTGATGGGTGATGCCCACAACTGAACGAGCAGGGACTCTAGGAAGTCATAGTTGAACTTCTTACCACACTAACTAATTACCATAGTTAAAAATAATATAATAATTAATTATTACTAATCATAGTAGAACTTAATACTACACCTCTCCTCTCTCAGATGTGAAGAGCGATGCAGTAATTGTTTGTGTTTAAGAAAGGAGAGCATTGTACTAAGCTGCCCTGAGAATAGGAGGATGCTAGGAAAGATGTCTTTAGAAGGAGACTTGGTACCAGAACTTGAATTTTGGGTAAAAACACAGAAGGCAAGATAGCAATTACATTCTGCTGTGGGATGCCTTACCCCAAAACTCAGTGTTTTGGAACAAGAGCTGTTTCTTTAACTCCCAGTTGTGAGGCTCACAGTTAAGCCTTAGCCTTTCTCATATTGTTTGTGCACCAGCAGTTGGTGGTCAGGTCCATTGAGGATGGTGGATCTTAGTTTCCTTGGCTGTCAAAATAAAATGCCACAGAGTAGGTGACTTAAAGTTACAGATATTTTCTAATAGTTCTGGAAGTTAGCAACCCAAATACAGGGCATCATCCAAGCCAATTACTTGTAGAGACTCTGAAAGACAACTTAGCCCTGCCTCTCTCTTCTCCAGTAAAAGATCCCAGGAAGCCTTTGCTTTTAAGGGGTAACGGTTTGTAGATATATCCATCTCTGTTATCAAGCGTCTTCTGTGTATAACAGTTTCTGTCTCTGTCTTCCTTTACAAAACATCAGTCAAACATGACGTGAGTTAGAGCTCACCTGGGACTGCTACCATACAGAACCAGAACCAGAGACCTTTACCCAAGCTTGCTGAAGTACTTGGGCAGAGTTGTCATAGTTGATAGGGCCAACTGAGGTTTGTAACATGCTCCTACAGCTTCACGGCTGAAGGCTGAAGGGCCGTGAGTGAGCATACTTTAGAACCTATCCTGACTGAGAAATTGTATTACTTTTAACTTCCCTAATAAACCCTGTTGCAAGTGACTCGATGGCACATAACAATGACAACAGTAAACTGTGTAATTGTAAATATAAAAAAAAACAACAAAAAAACAGCCCATCACTCAAGAGGGATTAAGACTAGGGCCTACGCTGTGGTGGTTTGGCGGTAAGGAGTTTCACTGTGAACCCAAAGGTATACAGTTTGAATCCGTCAGATGTTCCATGAGAGAAAGATGGATAATCTCCTACTGTGTGATTACCCACTATGAGTGGTCAGCTATGAGTTGGTTATGACTCAGTGGTACACAATTACAGCTACTACTCCTGTAAGACCTGATTAATTTAACTGGTAGCATCTTAAAAGAAAACTCCATTTCCCTGAACAAGGGCACATTCACCAAGCAGGGGTTAGGACTTCAAGGTACCTTTTATGGAAACACAGTCCAGTCCCTAACAATGGAGACAGCTCATTTTCATTTCATATGGTCTCTCATCCTCCACTTTGTTCAGTGTCATGGGTTCTTGGACTTCGAGAAGTTTCAGGACTTCTTGAGGAATAGACTTGACAACTGCCACGTACTATTACCAAAGTCAGTCACAGATCTACCAGAGTCAAGGAAAAGGGAAATAAGCTCCAACTCTTGATGGGTGCGGAAGCACCAGTGCCTAGTCTCTAACCCACAGGTGGCACCTCTCTGATAGTTCAAATCCTCCAGCAATTCCAGAGCAGAAAGATGGACAGCCTCCCATTGTGTGACTCACAGCCTCCTGAAAACCCATTGGAGGGTCAGCTGCGAGCTGGTTCCAGTTCAGTGGCAATGAGTTTGAGGGTTTTTTTTAATTATTATTATTAAATTTTATTAGTTTCAATGAACATTCACAGGGATTCTGGGCTTTCACTCCTTCATTGCCGCACCATTCTCTCCACCCTCCTCCCCAGTTTGTTCTCCATCCCCGCCATCCGAATGTCTGTTTTAATTGTCCAATTGCCACAGTGCTTGTTTGAATCTTTGATGGATGAGCTAGAGAGAAAGTTGTCCACTTTTATAGTTTCCCAAAGTTAGGGAATCTACCGGCCTGGTTTTCTTGATCCTTTCTCTGCTACAAGACCCAACAGGGAGACAACTAAGCAGAGGGCAATCCCCTGGGCTGATTGGAGAGGAGGCGGGTATATCTCCTTGGCTGGTTGTGATTGGATGAGACTGGAGCTTCAAAGGCTGAGGTCCTGCCCAGGGGTCTGGCAAATTAGTCACCAGTTGGCAGCAGGAGCCAGAATCCCAGAGACACTGCTCAGGGAAGAAGCAGTTGAAGACAGTGAGGTAGACCTCCAGAGGAGTAGAAGGGGGCAAGTTTGAGGAATGGGGGGATGAGGGAAGAGCAGGAGCAGAGAGTTTGGTATCAGGATGGGGACACCTTTTAGATGCTATGATCATAAAAGGCAGAAGGTGGCCCTGGGATGCTTGAGTTCATCCAACTCAAAATAGGCCTTGTAGAAGATGTAGGAGGAGCCAAGGTAGTACAGTGGGTTAAGTGCTTGACTGCTAACTTAAAGATCCGTCCTTTGAACCCACCAGCCATCCCATAGGAGAAGGTGTAGTGGTCTGCTTCCCTGAGCAGGACAGCCTTGCCAGCTCCACAGGGCAGTTCTGCTCTACCCTGTAGAGATGCTCCAAGTTGGCACTAACTTGATGGCAATGGATTTGGTTTCTTTTGGTTGGAGGGTGTGGCAACCAGGCCCTGAGAATGGAAGAGGCTAGTGAATCCTGACAGGAACGTGACTTGATTAAGAGTAGGGATGACCTTGTTAGAGTTCATATGAGAAGTAGGAGAAAAGTGAGAGGAGCCTAGGAGAGAGGTGATGAAGGGGAGAGCTGACTCCAGCCAGGGTCCCAGAAGATCTGGAGGCCGTCTCCCACTGGTTATGTGCGCCCAAGTGCCTTTTGCTCACATTTTCTCCAGAGTCTTGTTTTACTCAGAGACTCTCCACAGCCCTGGCTCTGGAACTATTAGGTAATACCATTCATCAAATTCCTTACAATGACTCCAGTCAGCATCTTTAGTTGACAGGAAGAAAAACCTAGACTAATGTTTGGGTTGACTGTGGCAAGACAGAAGGTTTCTTCTGGAGAAGGAGGCTTTGAATATGGATTTTGAAGCAGGCACGAGTGGGATCCGGAGTGTGTAGGCTCAAGGCACAGGCCCCAGCTTTCCACTGTGCCTTATTTTATGTCGTGTGCAGGGTGTTGCTGCAGAACTGCAGATCCCAGCCCCATCCCATGTTCTAGAGTCCCCAGCACAGATATTTCCTCCACTCTGACATCCTTCCTGCTGAGCCCCTAGTCCGTAGAGGTTGGTATAAGCCCACACTGGCCACTAGGCACAGACATCTTCCTGTCTTCTCCACTCATACACAGCCCCAGTCAGTGCCACTTCCTAGTCACCTGACTTCAGGTCTTCCTTGGTCACATTGGTAACTTTGTACACATGATCTATTTGGAGATCAGCCTGGGAGATAGGTTTGAAGCCAGGCTGCAGAAGATGTTGACTGTCAGGATGAGGGGTATGGGCCTCCCCAAGAGCCACTGCTCAGTCCCTGAACATGCCAACAGGAAACGGGCCGGGTAAGGACCACTGTCCGACACTGTGCTGATAATGAGGACTTTCCACAGGTAGAAGAGGTGAAGAAGATGAAGATTGGGAACCCATTAGACCGGGACACCAACCATGGCCCTCAGAACCACGAAGCCCACCTCAGGAAGCTGCTTGAATACTGTCAGCGTGGTGTGAAGGAAGGGGCCACTCTGGTCTATGGTGGAAAGCAAGTCCCCCGGCCAGGTAAGTCAGATACCCTCACATACAACAGCAAGGGCTTCTTCTAATCATAGTTCTGAAGACTGAGCACCTGCAGAGACAGGCTCCCAGGTGTCAGGTCCACTTGGAGCTCTTGCATAGGGTGAGCCATAGATATATGAACACCCGGCAGACCCAGATAAAGGAATAACAAAATTAAACTGCCAGCATAGAACATCTTGCTCAGTACCGATTTTCATCTTTATTATCTTGGGCTTTATTTTACTCTTCTTGAAATTCTCTTCTTCCATGGATTCAATGACTATTTTTTGGCTTTCTTCGTACCTCTTTAGCCAATTCTTCTCAGCAATTGTTGTTGTTGTTGTTATGTGCCATTGAGTTACTTGTGATCCAGTATATATTAGCTCTGAAAGCTGCACCATCCTGCGCTAACCTCATCATCTCCAACAGACCTAATCTAATTGCTCTAGTCACTGAGTCAGTCCATCTCATCCTGGGTCTTCCTCCCCTGTACTGTCCTTCCACCCTTCCAAGCACGATGTCCTTCTCCAAAGACTGGTTCCTCCTGGCCACAGACCCAAAGTATGCAAGACAGAGCCTCAAAAGCCTTGCCTCCAGGAAGCAGCCTGGTTTCACCCTCTCCAGGACAGATATGTTTGTTCTCTTGACAGTCCATTGTATGTTCAACACTTCTCCAGCACCAAAACTCAAAGACATTGATCCTTCTTCTATCATCCTTAGTCATTATCCAGCTGTCTGATGCATAGCAAGTAATTTGCAAAGACCATGGCCTGGATCAGGTACACCTTAGTCTCCAGATAATATCATTGCTGTTCAGTACTCTAAGCAATTACTCTTTGCTAATCACTACTGCCTTCCTCATTTGTCCCTTCAATGTTGGTATATTGCCAGGTTTATCCTTCTCTTGGTGCTTATCTCGTTATAGACACTTTACCTGGATAATCTCATGCTTTATAGATACTTGATTTCTCCCTAATACATGCCTCTAGACTTTTCCATACCAGAAATACTAACTACATAGACAGATGCCTATTGGAAAGCACCCAGATCCTTCACACTCCATAGGGACCAAATCCATCCCCTAAACATAATCCTCTCAACCATGTCTTACCCACACACAAATGAGCCCACTTCTCTAGAATCCTCTGTCTAATCATGTTGCCCAAGACAGGGGCCACTGGAGTGAACGATTGTGCTCCTTCTTATGAGACCGTACATCCTGGGAAGAGGCTCCACATCCCAAGCTTCTCACAGAATTAGTATGCACAATTAAGCAGATGGCAGGAAAAAGGGAAGGAGACAGGGAATCGTAGACTATGCTCGTTCTGTGAATTTTTTTGGTTTTTTTAAGTGCCTGATTCTGTTGTTAAAAACGGAACTGTCTCTTAGCTCTTCCCCCTTGTGCATCTCTGCCTCCAATACACCAGCTCCACATCCTGCCTTGGCTGGACTATTGTAACAGTGATGTGTGTGATCTCTTAAGCTGTTCATCCTCTATTTACGCAGCTGCCAGAGGTCTGCTTTCATCTTCATCATTGTTAACACACTACCACAGTCACGCACCCTCCTATCGCCTCGGGCTCAAATTCTTCAACATCACATCCTCAATCCTTTATGATCCACTTCCAATTTATTTACCTTTGACTTGTAATCTGTGAGTACTTTTCATGTTTCTATGTTCCCTATGCATCTGCTGTTCTTCTGCTTAGAAAACTCATCAGTGAGCTCCAAATCATCACTCAGTTCAAACGACATCTCCTTGGAGCAATCTTCCTTGGCACCCTCAAACACAGTCCACCCTTTGCCCTGGATGCTCCCTGGTACTCTGTGCTTCTGTGTGGTTTTAATGCCACTGTGTCTGGGTCACTAACCTTGTTTTCCTCAACACCTCCCAGGCCAAGGGCAGTGTCTTAGTCAAAGTCAGGGCAGAATGTGGACAGTCCAGTTCTAGGACTGATGGAAGGGATGGAGGGAAGACACTGTTTGCAGAGCTGTGATCAAGGTTAAGGCAGTAATAGAATAGTGTATTCCCAGGACTAAAAACTGTGTCAATTTTTTACTACGATGTGAACAAGCCAGAAAAGAGAGCAGGATCATGGAACCTAGCAAGTGCTAGAGCTATGGAATGAGGAGCATAGATTCTTGGCTATGTTGTTGTTGTTGCTATCTGTCATCGAGTCACCTGCAACTCATAAAGACCCTATGTACAACAGCTCTGAAGCCTGACCTATCTTGAGCCAGTCTCACTGGCTCCCACACACTTACCTTCATTGCCCCAGTTACTGTATCAATCCATCACATCCGGGGTCTTCCTCTCCAGCAGTGTACCTCCACCCCTCCCAGCATGATGTCCTTCTCCAAGGATCGGTCCCTCCTGTACAAGTGCCCAAAGTATATGAGACAGAGCTTCAAAATCCTAGCCTTCAAGGAGAACCTTGGTTTCACCCTCTCCAACACAGACCTATTTGTTTTCTTGGTGGTCCATAGTATACACAAGACTCTTCTCCAGCACCACAACTCTAAAGGCATCAATTCTTCTGTTATCCTTAGTCATTACCTAGCTCTCTGATGCAGAGCAAATAATTGTGAAACCATGGCCTAGATCAGATGCACCTTAGTCTCTAGGTTGACATCATTGTTTCTCAGTTCTCTGGAGAGGTCCCTGACAGCAGATTTTCCCAGTGAAATTTGTCTTTTAATTTCCTGACGGCTAAGAATGTTGATAGTGGAGCCGAGCAAGTTGTAATTGTTAACAACCTCAACCTCTTCTTCATCTATCATGGTGTTGCCATGGAAATCAGAAGATCAGAGTGCAGGGCAGGACAGAAAGAGTGGACGGTGGTGGAGAAGGCACAGAGAATAGCAGCCTGGTCCCACTGGCATCCAGTAGGCAGTAGTGAACAACTGTAGAGTGACTAGAAGACCCAAAGACCAGCATGCATTAACCCATAACTCACATTTTAGACACTACAGAATTTAAAATGAAATTTTTTAAATGAATGAACAATATCAAATGTTTTATTAAGTGTATAACTTTTAAAGTTCCTCTTAAAGTGTTATTTGTTTTTCAAAAAATAAGGTAAGGAGGCTCAAAATTTTTTCCAATTGAGAATTAGGTCTCAACGCAGCACACTCTTGGAGGAATCTGGGTCCCATACCTGAACAAGAAGCTGTCAGAGAAAACATCTCCTCAAATGTGGCTCTGCCATACTCACACAGCCTGTAGGAGAAAGTGATAGGTGGACACAAATCCAGAGCTTGAGGATGTAGCTCATATCTGCTGCTTGGAAGTGTCAGCTTCGGGCCTCAGCAGCTTCTACAAAGAAGGAAGTCCCATGAGATCCTGCCTGTCACGACCGGTGTTCACAGCTCTGCTTCTCTCACCAGCCTCCTCTCCAGCCTGTGTTGCTGGAACTTGAAGGAAACTATTTGAGAGTCCACAAGGAAACTATTTGAGAGTCCACGTCAGTTGATGACTAGGATGATCCCACACTAAAGATGATAAGGAAGGCACAGATTAGGACAAGGTTCAGACCTGTCATTCATAGGGTCGGGGTCACTATGAGCTGTACTCAACAACACATAACAACAACAACAATGCTAGTTGAGGAGTCCAGATATTCATTCAAGTAAAAAAAAAAAAGTCATTACAACTAAGACCTGTTCATGTTGTCGTTGTTGGAGTTACATGCCATTGAGTCAGATCTGACTTAGCTGACCCTCCAGCAGGAAGGCGATTGCCCATCTTTCTCACACAGCATGGACTTGAACCGCCTGCCTTTTGTTTGGCAGCACATCTCCTTACCATGAGACCAACAGAGATCTTTTTGTAGTTATAAGCTTTGGCACTGGACTTGAGTTCAAATATACCAATTCTGAATTTCCATCCTGTTTACCACAACAATGTATAATTAAGAGTTGTGAGGATGAAGTGAGATAATATGCCTGGGTATAAAAGTCACAGCTCTCAGGTATAATGTCAGCACTATGGGCCTGAGGCCTCACAGTGAGAGAGAGGCCAGGTGGAGACGACCACACCCTATATAGTCACACCTCTGTCTCCCCTGCAGGCTTCTTCTTTGAGCCGACTGTGATGACCAATGTGGAAGATCACATGTTCATCGCCAAGGAGGAGTCATTTGGACCCATCATGATCATCTCTCGGTTTGCTGATGGGTAGGAAACTCTTTTTATGTTTGTTGAGGTTCTGTATGTTACAGGGAGCTAATTAAGAGCTATGAGAGGTGGGAGGTGGTCCATGGTGTGGCCAGGAAGAGAAATTGGAGTCAGAGAAAGTAGACGGTGTGAAATTAGCCTGGGCCACCCGAGGATGAAGCTGACTGATACTTTTAAACCACTGAGGTCTTCAATGCTTCCATGAGAAAGAGCCCACTGGGTCATTCAAAGTCCTTCTACTATTAACAAAAGGCAATTTCCTTTCCACCTCCTCTTGCCTTGCTGTGTTCTCCATGTTTCTCTCTCAGCATCTTCTCACAATGAGTTTGACGGCTGTGTAATAAACCACCTCAACCTTAATGTTTGTGTTAGTAAGCAAGTTGGCTGGTTAGTTAGTTACTTAGTTATGTACCATTGACTTGGAACCAACCAATAGCTGACACCACACCCCATCCCACCCCCAGAGGGTTTTCAGAGACAGTAAACCACACGAGAAAAGTCTGCCCATCTTTCTCCCACAGAACAGCTGGTGGATTTGAACCATGTGCCTTTAGGTTGGCAGCGCAATTCCTTACTACTTGGCCACCAAATACTTAGATAATGCAAGATCTTCTGTACAACCAGAGTTTGTAGGATAGCCTGTCTCCCAAATACCACATCTGAGTCTAACTTGAGGCACCATATTGAGGAAATCCACAGTATGTGAAGGGGCCACAAGACTCGTATGACCGGGCTTCAGACAGCTCAGGGCACCACCATGTCTATGATTAAGTATGACCCCAAGGCCAGCCCTGCTTCACGGGGAGTGGACACAGACTCTGCTGTCTCTGGGTGGAGGAGCCCACAGTCTGGCTGCACCGTGCACCCCACCCTAAGTTTTTCAAGGCTGCCCCTTATCTATGTTGTGCTTTGGAGTAACATAAAATGTCACTTTATCCTCAGTTATGGTTCACTTCCAACTGTCAAAATATTCTGTGAAATGATTGTAATATGCTGGCTTTATTGGAATATACTTCATCACGATGAACGCTTACCCCTCCGTGATCACATGCCTGTGTGGACATGAACCCTTGACAGGCACCCACTCTGGGACAGCCTTGACTACTATCCTTTCTCCATGGGACATGGACCCAATCAGCTTCCCTTCAGGGCTCCAATTTCCCTGTCAGGGAAGCGGGGTGCTGGCCTTGGATCACCTCAACCGACCCTTCACTGTCCATTTGTAAATCTGTAACCACTCTCTCCTCACTTTGATTCTTCATTCTTCTCTGTTCTACCCTTCTTTCTTCATATTTGCTTTAACCCTGGCATATTTCCCTTCTGATTTCAAGCCTGGTCCCAACCCCCAGCCCTGAAAACTTGCAGACTCAAGGCTCAGTCTTATGTGACAGGCAGGCCGGAGTGGACTGGGCCCACTTTGGGGGAGGGTGATGCCAACCCTCTGCTTGCTGCACGGAACCACAGATCCTGTGTGGGGCTTAGTGTCCCTGGTCCAGGTTCCAAAGCCTCCAATCCTCCCTCATGGAGTTCTTTCTGATGCTCTCTTTAGTGACGTGGACACTGTGCTGTCTCGGGCCAATGCCACAGAATATGGCTTGGCCTCTGGCGTCTTTACCAAGGACATCAACAAAGCACTGTATGTCAGCGACAAGCTCCAAGCTGGCACAGTCTTCATCAACACGTACAACAAGACTGACGTGGCAGCCCCGTTTGGGGGATTCAAACAATCAGGGTTTGGCAAGGACCTGGGTAAGTTCATGCTGCCTGCAGGTCTTCTTCAATCACATATTGACTCAGCACACACAGGTGAAAGGACCCTCTGCTTTGGTATCTCTCCTGTATCAGGTCCAGGGGTACAGCATTGAACAAGAACTATCAGAGTACACACCATTTTACTGGGAGAGGCAAGAAATCGTTGGCTCCGTAAACAAGATGCTTCTAAGGAGTGCTGTGCAGAATGATCTGACCAAATGATCCGGGGAAAGACATTGGGAGGGCATTGAGACATGCCTGTAGAGGTTTCTTCAAGAGGTGACAGCCACACTGAGCCCTGAGTGACCAGGAAATTTAGCTGTTTTGAGCAGAGGGCATGATGGTGGCTGCAGTAAGTAGAGTGCCCTGAGGAAGGGAAAAAGGGAAAGGAGGAGTAGGAAGGAGGGCCTGGAGGCCATGGTCAAGGGCCGGGGTGATGGGAGGCCTTCTTGACTCCAGGGACCAATGAGCAGTGTGAGCTTCCCAGTGACAGAGGCCACAGCAGCAGGGGTCCCAAGGGACACAAACCAGGGTGCACATCCACCTGGTGCTCTGCTGGTGAAACAGAACTCAGCCTTCCTCCCTCCTGGGTTGTGTGAGTGAGGCCCCACTCTGAGCTGCCTCTCCTGCCACCATGAAGTCATGCTGACTAGAACGAGTCACCCACAGCCTTGATGGCCACGCTCAATAAAGACATGAGGATCTGAGAAGGGCTACCTGAAGCCTCTTAAAAGACTTGATATCTCTCCTGTATCAGCTCAGAGACCTCAGGAAGGTTCAGGTTGAGGTTAAAGCCAAAGCGGACTTAAGATATCATCTTTTCCTTCTTTCCAATGTTCAGCCCCTGCAGAAAGCCCCAAGGATGCTGTGCACTGAATAGACAGAGCCCTGGCACTGCACAAACACCTGCACACATACATATACCCATGCAGAGATACACACATGCCCATGCATACCCAGCAGGCGTGCCACAGAGACATGGCTCTCACACATGCCTAATCCACACTTCCTAGGTCTGTGTGCACCTACACACGCATTAGACACTTTGACTCCTACTTTTCTGTCCTCCTTCTCCCAGACCACTTTCTGGTGTCCACTGTGAGGATATATGGGAACAACAGTCATCCAGAAAAGCTTGCAGCTACCAAGCCTTAAGGACCTGATCCCTGTCACTCTATTTCCCATGCTCCCTCCTCCCTCTAGGCCACTGTGTCCTTCAGAGGACTAGCTGCCCTCTTTGAACAAAGCCTGCATAGGACAGACCCAGACATCCCAGAGGCAGCATGGTGGAAGGCAATGGCATTTGTGAATCATTCGTGGATCCAGCCTCAGTTGCAACTGAGGGGGAAAGAGTCAGGACTGAGGGAGAGGGGTCAGCACTTGCAGAGGGGATCAATGCCAAAGGAGAGGTTGTCAGAGCTGCAGGAGGGAGGTCATGGTTAGGGAAGAAAGGTCAAGACTTGGGGAAGGGGCTGGTGAGTAGGTATCAGTCTTGAAGGGTAGGTTCTGGAGTTTGGAGTTAGCCTCCAGAGCTAGGTGAGAGGAGGTTCCAGGGCTGGGAAGTTCCGTCTGTGAAGCAAAGCTTCAAAGCTGGGAGGTAGATAGCTAGTAGCTTAGTGGAGAGAGGTGTCAGGATTGGAAGAAAAGTGCCAATGGTGAGGGTTTAGTGCCAGGGCTTGAAATGTCCATGCCAAGGAAGAGTGTCCAAGAACTGGAGAGATGTCAGTGGTGAAGGGAAAGTGTCAGGGCTAGACAGTGGTTGCCAGCGGTGTGGGTAAGTGTAGATCTGGAGGTAGCTGCCAGCAGTTGAGTGACAGGTTCCAGTACTGGAGAGGTGATGTTCCAGAACTTAGGGGTAAGTGCTAGGGCTAGAGAAGAGTAAGGAGGAGATTCCAGCTGGAGGGGAAGGTTTTAGTGCTAGGAGCTAGATGCCAAACCTGGGGGCAAGGTATCAGGGCTGAGGATGGCATGCCAAGGCTGAGGGGCAGGTATGAGGACTGTGGTAAGGAAGGAAAGGTGTCTGGGCTGGAAAGGAGTTACTGGTAGTCCACAGTCGCCTGCCACCTGCCCACATGCTCATTGACAGGTCCAAGATTCCAGCTGAGTTCAGGGGCCTCTTCAGTAACAAGTTCCTTTGGAATTAGCCCTCTGGAACCAGGTGGTGAAGGTTGAAAGGGAGAGAAGAGTATACTGTTCCTGAGAAACAGGCCCCAGCTTCCCTCTGTCTGATGGGCACCCCCCATTTAGAAGATGTTGGTTGGGGCTGGAAAATGTCTGGGTGGTTGCCTGGCTGGCATCCCAGCTCACCACATAAGGTCAGCCATGACCTGGGTGAGACCTCCCTGGACCCCAGGTTCTCACCTGTAGGTGGAGTTGGGCAAGAACACGGCTCTAGGTAGAACACCCAGATGGTGCCTGGCATGTAGTGAGGGCATGGCCATGGAGCTGGTTCCAACGGTGTGTGGTGTCTTGCAGGAGAAGCTGCTCTCAACGAATACCTGAAGATCAAGACGGTCACCTTTGAGTACTGAAGAAAAGTCTCGGTCGAGGAAGCAGGCCTGCTTCAACGACTCTGCAGCTGCCTCATTCTCCTCCTCGTCCCCCTCCTGACCTACCTTCTCCAGGGCAAGCCCTATGCCATCTCCTGTTGACCAGATTGGCCTCCTCTCCCATACCTGGTACCCAACATTGTCCCTGAACACCAGCCTCCTGCCTGTAGCTACACCCTCCCATCTTCCCCGTCACAGAACACACTTGCATCCAGCTAGAAGCCACACTGGCTGAGTGAAGAAGGACCCGGCTTAGTGAGGATGCTGTCCAAGGCAGCCTGCGTCTGTCTCTTTCCCTCAACTCATTTGTCCAGGAGTATCCAAGAGCACAGTGATGTTAGCCTTGGAAGGCCAGGCTCCCCAGGGAGACCTAAGTCAGAAGTGGTGTGGGCCAACTCAGGCCTTCAGAAAGCAGCCTCTGAGATGGTGACAGGGTCTGTAGTGGAACCCCTGTGAAACTGAGGAGAAGAAGCAAGAGGGCAGGGAAAGCCTCGGGGGTGGAGCCGTTCAGTTGGAGGCTTTGAGAAGCCCTCTAACAAAAGCGGCTGTGGAAGCCATGTTGACGGACAGCTTCACCAGCCCTTTCACCTCTGCCAGAGGCTGTGACAGCCAGGGCACCATCACCGGAGGCTCCCCGGGAGCTACACTCACAGCTGGGAGAGAGCTCCTCCTCCCCAGGACGAATTGGGCAGTTCCCCCAGCACCAAGAGGGAAGATCAGTCAAATTCTCACCCTTGGGAATTTACTGGCTGGGCTGAGGAGGACAAGGGCAGAGCCAGCAAGATTCAGGCAGCCATTGCAGATCACAGCAATTGGAACAGGTAGTGCTGGGCAAGGCCTCCACAGAAGTAGGGCTGTGTCTACCAACCCCAAGCATCCTTCAAGTCAAAGTCCTGGGCCCTGGATTCAACAACTTCCACCCACCTTTGCTGGAGGCTGGTAGCTTCAGACCAACCATGTTTCTGCCCCTGGCCTGGATCTTCTGTTTCCCTGTTTATTTCCCTCACATGCTGGTGGTACCTTATCATCTCCCCAATACAGATTTCTCTCATCCTACTGTGTCCCCTCACCCTTCCTTGGACATCCCCAGCCATGCAGTCCTTGCACTTGCTTCTGCCTTGATTTCCCCTGCATTGTAAAGCCTGTTGGACTTGGGTTTCCCCTTTCCCACAATTTCCCCAAAAGGCCATTCTCTCCTTTCAAGTCCAATGACCCTACCTTGTTTGTACCATCCCCACCCTGACTGACAGCATCCAAAATCCTCCCACTTGGCAAACCCTATCAAAGGCTTCAACCACCATGAGGCTAGTTCCTTTGCAGAGGTTCACTCAGACTTCATCTACTGAGTGATGGTAACAGCTCATAACAAACAATGGCTTGTTGAGCACAAACTTCATACCAGGCATGGTGTATTTACTTCATTGAATCTCCTCATAGCCAATTAGGTTTTTGTTTTTGTTAGGTGCAGCTGTCGAAATGAGTACAACTGATAGCGACTCTGTGAACAAAAGATCTGAACCCTGTTCTATCCTGTGCCATCCTCACACTTCCTGACACACAAAAGACCATTGTGGCAGTCACCATGTCAATCCACCTAGTTGAGGGCCTTCCTCTCTTTCACTGACCCTCCACCCTTCCCAGTATCATGTCCCTCTCCTAAGAGTAGCCCCTCCTAGCAACATGCCCAAAGTATGTGAGGCAAGGCTCCATCATTCTTGCCTCCAAAGAGTTCTCCGGCTGCACCCTGTCCAAGATATATCTGTTCTCTTGGCCGTCCATGGAATGTTCAGTGCTCTTCACCAACACTACAGCTCAAAGACATCAATTCTTTTTCTGTCATCCTTATTCATTGTCCAGCTCTCAGATGCATAGCAAGTGATTGGAAAGACTATGGCATGAATCAGACACACCTTAGTCCTCAAACTGACATCATTACTCCTCAGTAATTTGGAGAGGTCCCTAACTGTAGATTTTCCCAGTGCAATGTGTCTCCTAATTTCCTGACTGCTCATACCGGGGTGTTAATTGTGGATCCAAGCAAGATGAAGCTGTTGACAATTCCAATCTCCTCTCCATTCATCATGATGTTGCCTATGGGTCCAGTAGTAAGAACGGTTGGGTTTTTTTACATTGAGACGTAATCTGTACTGAAAGCTGTATTCCTTGATCTTCTGCAACAAGTGCTTCAAATCTTCCTCACCTTCAGCAAGCAATGATATGTCATCTACATAATGCAGGCTATTGATGAATCATCAATCCATGAATCACTCCTCTTCCTAGAGTCCAAATTCTCAGATAATTTGCTCAGCATACAGATTGAATAGGTATGGAGGTATACAACCCTGACACACTCCTTTCTCAATTTTAAACCATGCCGTATTCCCTTGAACATGTCACCTTTAAGCTCTGGTGGCCTAGTGTCAAGAAGCAGCTTCTGCAATCCCAAGGGCACCAGGGCACCAGCTGCTCCACAGCGGGCGAAGGATGGGCAATCTTCTCCTGTGCGATTAACTGCCTCTGAAAACCCTCCGCAGGATCAGCTATGGGTCGGTTCCGACTCATGGTTCACAACAACAGCTGCAGGATTCCCCTGCTCTGTTCACAACAGGTTCTGCATGGGCACGATCAAGTGCTCTGAGATTCCCACTCTTCTCAATGTCAGCCACAACTTGTTATGATCCACACAGCCAAATGCCTTTGTAGGAACTATTTTTATCCTCGTGTGTAAGTAAAAAATTTGAGACAAAGAGAATTTTTAGTTCAAGAAGCCAAGGCCCCACTATTGGTTTGAAATTGTATTTCTTTTCCTTTCCAAATTATAGGGACCTTGAAGATCCCACTTCCCAAAAATGTCTTCTACCCTACTATTTCAGGATCCCTAAAACCTCTACCTCTCTCTCTCTCTCTCTCTCTCTCTCTCTCATCTCATTGCTTAATATTTCTCTCTTTCTCTCTCTCTTATCCTAGGAGGTACACCTACCTCTGACTTCACCTCTGCTGAGTCTTAGCAGCAGCTGCTCTAGTGGGTCCCCTGCTCCCAACTTCATCATTGCAGTTAGGAGAGATGATTCTCTCCTAACACCATGTAACATCATGCTTGGAACCAAAGGTGGAGGGTCCGTGAAAGAGAGGAAGATCTTCAAGCCCATCAAGTAGACGGTCGCAGCAACTGCAGCAGTGGGCTCAAGTGTGTCAGAGATGATGTGGATGGCACAGGATAGGACAGGGTTCAGATCTATTGTACACAGGATTACTATGCGTTGTAATTGACTAGAGAGCACCTAACTCTGCCATTAGCTCTTTCACCCTGAGAATGAAGTGAACTTCTACTGTGATGACAGCTGGTGGAGAAGACCACCACCTCAATAGAAAATGTTCCCTCATCTGTAGGGAGACTGATGTGAGATGTAGTTACATCAGGATGATCTAGTTCAACATCTTCCCATTTCCCCAAGGTCCAGTTATTTGGCCTTAAACAGCCTCAGGAATAGGACACAAACAATGAAGAGTGAACTAATTTAGCTGACCCTAGACTGACTCCTTTCATGGTGCAGTCACCACAAGATGAATTTGCCTGATGTCTTTGAGTGTCAGTCTTAGATTCCCTGTAAACCACTGTTCATGGCAGAAGAGAAGGACATCAAATACAGACCATCTAAACACAAATAGAGCCAGAAACCATTTTTATATCTCTCTCCAAATATGCTTCAGCTAACTTGGCTTCAGAGTTGTTGTTGTTGTTGTTGTTGTTGTTGTTGTGTGCCATGAAGTCAGAACCAACCCATAGCTGACCCTCTAGCAGGTTTTCAAAGGCAGTAAATCTGACAGATGGAGATTGACCATCCTCTTGTGGAGCAGCTGGTGGAGTAGAACCATATGCTTCGGGTATTGCAGTGTAGCTTCTTACCACTAGGCCACTGGAGCTCCCATAGGAGCAATGATGTCAGTTTGAGGACTAAGGTATGCCTTAGATTCAGACCATGATCTTTTCAGTCACTTGCTGTGCATATGAGAACTGAGCAATCAATGATGATAGCAGGAAAAGAATTTCTGACTTTGAGCTGTGGTCTTGAAGAGTACTGAATATACGTGCCCTGGACTGCTGAAAATAACAAA